AGTATTTTTCATGTTCTCATACTAAGCTATTGAAAACTGAAAATGCTTTTCAATTCCTCAGTTTGTTGCTTTGTAGGAAAGGGTACACTTTAATTAAAACCATAGCCAGCAACATTCTAAATAAATAATCATTAACTGATTTTAAGAAAGACAAGGAAATGCAGTGTATAAATAATGCATTGCTTTCTATTTGAGAGGAGTGTACAATGCTTACTTATGGTTAAAAGTCATTTTAACTGAACAGTTTCAAAATAAATAATTATTTGGTCCCTAATAGCAGAAGGAAAAAAAGAAGGGAAAAAAAGATGCTGAAAGTAAATTCATGTTCCACTGACAATAGATTTGTAGCTGATTCCTCCCCTTTACTCAAAGCAAAATGCAGGTAGCCAAAGCCAAAGTTTTTTTTCTAAAATTTGGCCTTTTTAAGTTCTACTTAGACTATGAAGGGCCCTAAAACTTTTTGACTTTTAGTTAAAATTTAGTGTAGTGCAGGTCTATTGCATGAAGAAAACCTGACAAAACACAGAAGGTTACATACTTGGTACTTCAACACAGCTTGACATTTTGAAGCTTCATGCTACACTTCCAGGAAACCTTTGGAATCACAAGAACTGCTCACTCAAGTTACTGACTCTACACGACAAATTATTTGAGGAGCTTTCCTTCCTGATTTTCAGAGAATGAAACATTGAACTAGCCATTGAATTAGAGTTAGGATTTCAGAACAGTTGAGGGTTGATGTAAATGTCTTCATTAAATGTCTGCCAAAATTAAAATGTTGCCAAAATTACTGCCAAAACACCAAAACAGTAAATTAAAGCATGCTTTCTTTCCCTTTTTTTTTTTTTTTTTTTTTTTTTTTTCCAAGAGCCTTACATAATATCTTACATCAAGTTGTTAAAGATTAGCACAGTGTTGATCTGCTTGGGGGCAGGAAGGCTCTGCAGAGGGATCTGGACAGGCTGAATCCATAGGCCAAGCCAGTGGTGTGAGCTTCAACAAGGCCAAGTGCTGGGTCCTGCACTTGGCTCCCAACAACCCCAGGCAGCGCTACAGGCTGGGGACAGAATGGCTGGAAAGCTCCACAGCAAAAAAGGACCTGGGATTAAAATTTCTTCACCAAAAGAAAGGTTTGTCAAGCATCAGAACAGATTGTCCAAGGAAGCGAGACACCATCCCCAGAGAAAAGACATGCAGATGTGGCACCTGGGGACATGGTTTAGTGATGGACTTGGCAGTGATGGGTTAACAGTTGGACTCAATAGTTTTCAAGGTGTTTTCCAATCTTAACAATTAATTGTGTGATTCCAAGATACACAGCTTTATTTGTAAATCAGCTTTAAAACATTTAGAAACTTTGTATATTTCTTTTAGGTTGAAAGTAACAATTTTTAGAGTATTTCTGCTCTCTGCATTTGAACAAAGTAACTGTGAGCAATCAATGGTTTTCTCAAGAACTGTCTTTAAAAAAAAAAAATCACACAGGAATTCCACACACTTTAAAATGCTCAGCAAGAGATCCTGTGAGATTAAAAGCTCAATCGGAAGAGACTGAATCGAATTACAATTATAGAATTAAAAGATTTTTCTTCCTAATACTTCTTTTCTCTGTAAAGCTCTATCTTTGTAAAATTTCATGGATTGAAGAAGCACTCTTATCTGTTGCAGAAACTAAACTCTTTCATAAGAAATACAGTGTCCCAAAGAATCATAGCCACAACAATGAACTGATGAATTCAGAGTTTTCCCCTGTTTATAAAGCTTTGAGTTAGAGGATTAAAGAATCACTGAAAAAATACATCTCAAACTATTTATTATTTCAAGAGAACACTGGGATAAGATCAGAATTGAACACAGAGCAAAAAAAGCTGCCAGTGGTGTTACTGACCTGCCCAATGACACAGACCTGGGGCTTTTATGTGGCTACCAGCTGTAGGACCTGAAGTTTTCATGTGGCTCTAAAAATTGGAACTTTCAGTTGCAACCTCACACAACAATCACTTGTCCCAGTAATCTACCACCTAGAAAGACAATATGGACAAGCTCTGTATCTTCTCTAGAGTGCTATTTCACCCTTTTGCTTATTCCACAGAAACAGGTTTACAGTTATCTTTGTAAGAAATAGAATGCAAACACAGATATTGGAATTACATAGACTGTAGAAAATAAAAAAAGAATTTAGGATGAACATGGGTAACTCTACATCTGGGGAAGAAACCATGACTTTTGATCATTTGAAGACAAGAAAAGATATTTGTGTAACAGTTACCCAGGTATCTAGAAAGTATGTATTCCACTGACAAAAATGAAAAGAGCCTGAAAGCTATTTCAAGTGAAGCATTTCTTCACAGAAATATACTGCCAATAGTTTCCATTCATTCCACCTTCCCAAGAACATTTAAAGAAATTTGAAACTCCTGTGCTGAACTTGAACTACTTTTAGTGCTCAAGTCTTATTTTAAGGTTTATGATCATAAAAGTTAATTACTGAAAAAAACAAACAAAACCAACCCACCTATTCACTCCCACTAAACCCCAAACAAAAGCCCTCTGGGAGGCTCTGAGCCCAGAGAAAACTAAGCTAGGAGTTAGTCCCAGCTGTCAAAGCCAGTACCAGGGGACAGGTCAGATGAGACCAACAGACACACATGGCTTAAGAGTGAGGGAAGGGTTGAGAAGACAGTAAATCAAACATTTGCAAGCAACCAATGCAGTATTTTCCTTCCCACTTTCACAAAAATCCTAGAAGAAATCATATTTATATTTCCTAGTCACAGAATTATGCACATCTGAGGCAGAAGCTACTTTATCCATTCACACCAATGTCATCACACAGATTCTACACATTGGGGAGGCCTAAATCTGCATTTCTAAAACCACCAAAGCCAGAGTATCAATACCTTTGTAATGTAAAGGTCGATGGTTAAAATCATACTCTAGAATTCCAGTGTGATTTTTAAATGATGACTTCTGCTATATTGAATTAAAAATGTAGATTTCAATATTTTTTTTATTAGTAATTTTAATGTCATGCCCTTATCCTTCCACTTCCCAACCAGGGTCAGAGAAGCATTTTGTGAATAAGCTTTCTCTGATCCAGCTTTTCATTACGTCATTATGTCTTTGGGAAAGAATATTGCTACACCGGTAATATTTATTAAAGTGGCATTGAAGGCACATATATTTAGAGCAGTGTAAAAACACAAAGGTGCTGGGAAAAAGAACAAGTACAGGAAATCCAGTATTTGCCCTTGCAAATTACGTTAACATTTGCTTCTCCCTTCATTCATTATGATGATAATATTCATCTGCCTCTTGTCTGGGTTGTGCTACTTGTTTCTTTTTGCAGTACTCCATTCTCTAGACTAAGCCACCTTTACTGCCTCTCTCAGCATTCCATCTATTTCCTACTAAAAAATTTTTATTACCTTCCCAGTCCTGATGAGGTGCTCTGATGCAAGAACTACATTTCACATTTTTTAATTCAGCTAGCTAAAAAGACAAAAAAGGAAACTATAAATAAGCATACATGATAGGTATTCTTAAAGCCTGATGATCACTGAAATGGAAGAGTCTTATGTTTATCAGGGAGAAAACTAGGAGTCAACAAAGAAAGACATATAGAAAAGAATGATCTGCCATGGTTGCTGCATTTCAAAAAGCAAATGCATATGAAACTACCTCTATGCTTGAAAATATGATTGGGAGTTCTCATCCTATGCAGACAGCTACAAAATAAGCCCTTTTCAACGATTTGAAATGGAAGTGGTTGTTAATTTTTTATGTTCCTTACTTCTCTAAAGCCATCCAGGTAAGAACCACTCTCACTAGTAACCTCCCTGACTTCATATACAGCCATTCTGAGATGCACCAGAGTGCCATAATCATGTCAATGGCATATTAACTTTTAAACCTCAGAATTGTACAAATGTCAACATTAGATGGGATTTTCAAAGGTTCTTAGGCAATTAAGCAATCTTTATAATTCTGAGAGGGCCCACTGAAACTGCTAGGGACTGTCAGCTGCTTTACTGCTGACCATCTGAGCAGGAACATCCAGTCAATGCATCAATTCAGCAATTCCAAATCTCCTATCAAAAAGCCAAACCTACCTAAACTCAACCTTACAGTTCTTTTATCCTAGATACCAATATTATTTAACATTATTTATGCTTTTATTCTAGCAATACTTCTGTGAAGTAGGGAAATGCTGATATTTCCATTTTACATGTCATGTCAATCCAGAGCAGGATAAGAGACCTGTATGTTAGCCCCCAATAACATAACAATACAATTGTAGCTTGGGAATAAAAAATATCTGCAACTTGTCCACAACTTCTAAGTGTCATTTCAGCTTATATTCTTTTTAACAGCAAAATAAGCACCAATTATGTTATTCACAGAGGAAGGATCCTCCATTTTTAAATTTAAATGAAGCTATTATAGTTTTTGACCTCCCACAATACAACATGCAGACTGAAGGAAGCTTGCTTCAGAGCCACTGCTTCTTGAACATTATGTGAAGCCTCACAAACAGCCTTTGAAAAAAAACTACTTACACACGAGAAAGACCTAGAAACAAGGTAATTGAGAAGTACAGAACAAACCCGACCTTCCTTACATCAAAGTAACTGCAAGCTGTTCTAACATTATAAATGTAAGATATCCACAAGTACAACACAGTATAAATATTAGAGGGACACTATGTTACACAGCATACCTGCGCCAGCAGGAAAATCTTATCCAAACACACACTTTCTGCTGCTTTAGTCAAAAAGATAATTTTTTGTCATGTTAAAAAAGTCCAGCTTTAAAAACATGTTAATTCCAGAAGGAAAAAGTCCCTTCTTGCCTTACCTTCAATTAGTTTTGCTCAAAATAGCTAAAGCAGATATATATAATGTGGAAGCTTGCATCAAAGCAATCCTCTACAAATCTCCTACAAATTAATTAATAAAGCAGGCAAAACTGAAAAGCATTAAACAAGTGGCTCTCCTTACCTTCAGCACAGCAATGAATGGTACAAAATTAGCCCTCTGAAGACCATTTTTATAGAGATCTGAAAGAAAAGAAATCAGTACCATTTTGCTACTTAGTCTTAATAACATCGGCTTGTCTTCTAGTCTGGCAAATAAAACTCAGTGTTGCTGGAGACAGGAGGAGGAACAAAAGGCAGAAAAGGAAAGCTAAAATCCATTTCTCTTATTTTACTATACAAAAATTCAAAACAACCTTAAGGTAGAACGGAACATCCCTAGAAGTGTGAAAACAGCAGGAAGTAAAAAATTACTTAGATCTCTAATGACATAAAACTAATTCTAGCAGAAGAAATTAGAGCAGCATCTGTTTTAAAGTAAGGGTTTAAAAAATATTTGTAATACTGGGTATACATTGGTAAAGATTGTAAGGCCAAACTATGCAACTGCTAAACCCAAGTATTTGGCAGAGGGCAAAAACCCCACACAAACTAAAAATATACAGTTTGTCTTTGCTAAGTTAGCATCATTCTTATTTGATGTTCTGTGATATGCTTTATCTTCTAGCAATCCTGTCAGGTACACTTCCTCCTCAAAAGCAAGAAAAAGGATCACCCCTAAGGCCAAAAACCTGAAAATTAAATTAATATGTAAACTTAGGCAAAGTTGCTAAAAATGCAACTGAAGAAAGAAAAAAGTAGTATATTATGTAACAAAATGCAGACCTGCATCATCAAACAAAATACAAATTAACAAAAACTGTAAAGCAGCATTTTTCATCTTACTTATCTCTATATATTTATACAACATAAACTTTTCTTCTCTGGAAATTAACCAACTGCCCAACAAGTTCATAACAGAATGACTTCTTGGAAAACACAATAATTTAAAACTGTATGATGATCTGCTCTGTTTCATTAATATTCAGAAGCCTTATAAAAAGGCAGCTTAGCACCTATAGCTGACAAAGGGAATGAATAAGAGAATACAGACAGCTGGCAGAGATATCACCAAAATTCCACTCAAAGCACATGCCAGGTTATGATTATCCTTTATATTCCCCCTAAGTCCTGAAGCCACAAATACACTAAAGCTTTTATGCTTTACCAACACTTCACAGTGGACAGAAGATGCTGCGTCCATGAGACAGCAACAGGCCACCTACAGAATGGTTTTCACAAAATTGGATATGTACGTGGAAACATTTAGAAAAATTAGCAATTAAGATAATTCCATTACCCTAATTACTAAAAAAAGTTCTAGGAAACCATGTATCATGCTCATTCCCAACTCAGCAAATCAGCACGGTCATACATTTGTTAAAATATATAGCAATCAATTGCGTATTTACTTGCAAAAATGAGTAGTGTAAGACAGCTAATCCCATTAGTTCTTCTAGCTGATAGGACTGTGAGCTGTGTATTATGTCTCTGTTTCATGAGATCAGAAAATAAACAGTAATTTTGGAAATGCTGTTCTTGTCATTCTCTGAGGTACTTAATATAGGTGGATGTATTTCAGGTTGATACAGTGACTTAATGTATATGAAAAACACCCATACAACCATAAAGGTCACAAAATGACATCTTGATTTAAAGCACTGGCTACAATCCTCAGGTTATGGTAAAAAATTCTCCTGAACTTTAAAGAGTAGTCCTTAAAAAAACCCAAGGATGGCTCTCAAGTGAGTAAAGCACCAGCATTCAGTCTATCTGTAGTCAACACAACTACAGTAGTTACAATTACATCTTTTTTGTGCAGAAAAGGAAAATAAGCCAATGGGAAATAATTTTCTCCCCTAATAAAAACATTTGGGTGGATTTTTTTGGTTGCTTTGGGGTTTTGTTATTGTTGTTGTTTTTTGCTAAGATAAAGTTCATTGTAGAATTGCCCATCATTAGTGATTGTCTTTTACTCAATTAATGTGGGTAGGAAAATTAATGGCTGTTACAGTTAACAATTAAGGTAACTCTTCAGTATTTGAAATTGATCAATCTGAAATGTCATAAAAGTTTATGCATTATGCTAACTGCTAATGCTCTACAACACAAACATTTTTCTCCTTCACAAAAAATTACAGTTACTGAATGGTTAAAACCCATACAGATTTGGGAACTTTGTAGAAGGATCTACTTAGCTAATCACTAGAAAGGACTAGTCACTGTAAAAAAGAGGTAGAAATGGAAAGAGCTCTCCACTTAATTCTCTCAAACCAGCTTGTAAGAAGGTAAGAATGGCATCTCAGTAAGTGGCTCTCCTTCAAGCTGGTGGACCACATCTGCAAGTTTCTGAGTTAGAAACTGGGAAGCAATGTGATATCATTTCCCTTCTTTGGCAGGATCTGATCTTTTCCTATCCTTAAACACATTCAGAACAGGCAATATTTTACCCCTCTTCAACTGCCCTTTGCCCGAACACCCTCTCACTGGTTTGGATAGAGTAGAGGAGATCAGAAAACACAGGAGATTTTGAGAGTGGTGGAGGAAAGAACACTGAGTTCAAGATACAGGAAAGTTAAGATTAAGTGAAAAACCTTTCTCTGATTCTTGCAGTCTACAGAGTTCCTTAGAACTGAATACTGTATGATACAAATACAACTGTTTTGTAAGATACTGAGATTCACTGGGTTTGGGTAACACTGGTACAATGTTTGTTTTTACCTTCTGGCGGCCTGTTAGATGTCGCCACAACGACAACCCCATTTTGGAAGAGATTTTCAAAAAGCTGCTTCAGAATCATGGCATCAGCAATGTCAGTGACCTGAGAAGACAACACATTTGTTATATCTTGCTTTCAGCTTCTGCTGCAATAGATCTGCAAGTGGCTTTGTAGCTAGGAAAATGCTTGTTAGTCAAAGCCATGGAAAAAGATTCTAATTATTGCTTGGTGAGAAAAAAATAAAAGGGATAATTAATAAGCAGTGAATGTACCACAGTCTTTCAAAACTTGCCCACTCTTTATTGCAGAACTCCACCATTTCTTTACCAATTGCTAAATGATTCCATGTTAACTTCTATTATGAAACTACAGGTGGGAGACACAGAAAACAGACCTAAACATTTAAGAGACTACTTAATTAGGAACAACATGAAAAAAAACAGAAGATAAAAAGAGATACACACTGGCTGTTTTACATTTCTATTACCTTTGAGGCAAAGGTTTGCAGAGGTGAATTTAAAATGGTCATGGGACTTCAGAAAATAAAGACAAGTAGCCAACTATACATAATCAGCTGCTGTTGAAAATAGAATGATATGACATAGATACTATTGTGTGATTGTTGCAAAAAACAATTCAACAGATGGCCCATCACAAAAATAAGCAATTTCATTGTTCTTTTTAAGTGCCTTCTATTACTGTCCATGAATAATCAAAAGGCAGGCAGTCACTTCCAGCACAGTCAGCCTCTTCTAACCTTCAGGCACAAAACACGAATGAAAAATAAAAATGGGTAGAACAAGAGATACTGGGGAGGGGTAAGGAAGGAAAAATGACAACAAGATAAGCCATTAAGTAAAATTTCTTTAAGCATCTTAATTTTAGCTTAATGAATTTGCTTTATAGTACCATGAAATAAAAGGATACAGGAACAATGCTGTAAAGAAATGCATCAAGTTTTTCTGAAAAACCAGCAATTCATATTTTACAGGAGTTCACCAGCTTAATACATAAACCACCTTTATGATAATTATACTTCATTCTCATGGTTATTATAAAGACACTTGTTGCATTTTGGCTTGCCAAAACAGACCACAGTTCTGAGGAAATAAACCAGTGGTGGCATGCTGGGAGTTATTCCCATTACACGAGAGACTGACAGATTGCTGAGCTTTCACCAGCTTAGATGTGTATGCTGTGATATCAACACATGTGCCATCACAGAAAGTTTTACCCAGCATAATGTTTTCTTCTACTCCACACCCCTTCACCCCCCCATAATTCTCCCATTTCTAAATTACTTTTCAGTGCAGAAGAAAAAGAAAGGTAATACTACACTAGAAACTTAAGTAAAAGACTTAGGTTTCATTTCTGGCAACTAGTTTTGAAGCAGTAACATTCTTAATGAACAATACATAAACACTAGCTTCCTTCTTCCAAAGATTTTTTCTATTTTGCTCTATTAATGCCTTAATATGGATTTTTTTCCTTTATAAAAAACAAACTTTTACATAATTACACATGCCTCAGATTTGCATCTCTCTGCTCCCTAAGAGCTGATATTAAAAAAAATAGTAATTCACTATCATACCATATGTTTTACACACTTGCTTATGTTTCACTTATCAATAATTTATTTCTTCCAGATACTAAAATTCAGGAACTTGTCCCACTCCTAAGAACACCAGACACACGAGGAATCACTATAGATGTGCATCTTAGGGGTAACTGAATTTCTTGTCCCACAAAGCACACCTAAAAGCCAAATTTTAAAATTCTATTATAGAAATAATTTTGTTACAAACCTTTTTGTTTAATAGTACTACAAAGCATGCTGCCTCTAGCAATCAGGGAATGAAAGAGTAATAATGCTCACATAAAAAAACCCAATAACATTCTCCTATTAAGAAGAACTGGTTTTTGATGCAGAATTCTGAGCTCCATTACAAAAAAAGGAAAAGAAAAACACAAACAAACCCCGACAATAACACACAACCCCCCCCCCCCAAAAAAAAAGCCAAAAAACCAACCAACCAAACAAAAAAACCCCAACAAACCTCTTGAAAGTTCTGTCAAAAAGCAAGAGCCATTTTGAGGACAAGGATGGAAATGTGAGCTCTTTTTATCTAATACACTTTAGAAAAGATAAACAATTTCTACAAGGTAAAGCAGGTAGAAGACAGTAACTAAAGGATTTTAAGTTCTCATGTTTTTTACTGTATCCAGCATTTATTGCAACTGATAACAAAAGCAAAGCCTACAAATTACCAATAAGGAGGGCCTGCTAGAGGAGAGAATGGAGAAATTTCATTAGCATTTAAGAGAAAAAAGAAAAAAAAAAAGCAAAGACACTAGACTAATAGTTAATTTACATGTTTAAGTGCCTGAGACTCAGTCAGCCACTGATTGGTACAGTTCCACGTAATGAATGACAAACATAAGCATGTATTATCAGCAATTAGTATTAGCACAAAAATAAGAGCCTAATTTTTATTAGAGGCTTTTAATAGAATGTAGGTTAGTAAAAACTCCCTAAATTGTTAGTTCACTTTTGTAGTCCAGATGGTACCATTGGTACCTTAAGGTTAACACTGCATCATCCCTCAGCTTCCCAAGAAGGAGAGACTCTGGTTTTATTATAAATAATAACATAGGTTACAGTCCTGTGCCAAAATTAGAGCTTCTAACTACCTGTGTATAGTTATTTGGTCACTGCTAGCCACCCCTGTGCTCTGAAATCTCATCATTACAAAAAGCTTAATTTTAGGGTTTTTCTTCAAAGTGAAGATATTTTCAGAATGGCTTAAGAGTTCTGTGATGAAAAAAAGACTTCAATATTTCCAGTAAACTGTATGACAAAGATCAGTAAGACACAGCAATGCTTTAAGAACTTGACAGCCTGGGGCTCAGGCAACTGCTGACAAAATCCTGCTTCAAAATGGACAAACACAGAAGCATAGTGCTGTCACTGAGATCCTGGCCATCACACAGTATTTGCACAAAGAAACATTAAAATATAAATTTTAATCCAACAATACATTGGAACACAGAAAATTACTTTTAAAATAAGTACTGAAATATTTTTCTAGATCAATTAGTCATTTCTCCATTTGCTTAATAGTTCTCTGGGTTTTGCAGGAAGATTCACTTCAGAATACTTCTGTTTTGCTTTAACCCATTGTCAATGAGGAAAATGCAACCTCAACAATGCTTTTGTCTTCTGAAGTTCTGCATTTGGTTTCCTCTGCAAAATGAGTATTAACAATATGTTCTGCTGTCCTTGTTTAAAATATCTCATATTAAAATATCTCATTTAAAATATCTCATATTAAAAAACTCATCCATGTTTCTGTTCTTAAGATAAATGAATAATTATTTTCAACTTATTCTCCTTTTTTTTTGTTCAGCAGGCATCTGAAAGCAACTTGAAGTGTTTAAAGCAAATCTCAATAGTTTTCTGATGTTGTCTCCACACACTATTATTTTGCCAAAACAACCTCACTTTTCATCTGTCAAAACAGAGGGTTGCTTTGTCCACAAGTCAGAGCAGTGTATGTTCTAAGCCTGCAGCTCTTTCCAGTTTCATTTTAATCTAGCAATTCTTTAAATACTAGTAAATCAGACTGCAGGGAAATAAAGCCATGATGTCCACTGCAGAAATGAGCTGCAAACATCCCAAATTAAATATGGCTCCTTATTATTGTTAACTGTCTCACCATGTGAGCTCCTCTTCCAGCCACTGCACTACTTTATGACTATTTAAGCAGAGGGTTTCTTATCCCAAATTCATTGCCTTCTGAAAAAATTCAGAAAGCTGGAACTCCTTCTATCAGGCAGAATCTGTGTAGAGTTCCACGTTACAGAAAATCAGGCAAGAAATACAGCCATTCAGAAATCTGTGAATGTAGAATATTAGTATATCCAAACCAAGTAGATTTTAAAAATTCCCTTATCAATGCAAAGTCTTGGAAACACATTTAAAATGTATAGTTCTTGTATTAATTTCCCAACTGCGACAGTTCAGCAGAACAGGTGATTTTTACAACTGAAGTCATTGGTGTACCTCAAGCAAGTCAGCAGGGGGAGCAGGCAATCAACTTGGGAACAAAATATCCCCCAGTCTCTCCCTTCAAAATGTGGAAATATAACAGACAGTCTGTAAACACCACAGTACTGCCACATGAAAGCAGTGAGCATTTATACAGAAAAGCAGGTATTTATACTAATACATGGTAAAGCCATTTTCTACCATTTGAGCATTTAATGCTGTGACAATTAACACTTCCCTCTCCCAACCTTCTCATTTCTTCATTGTGTAAGTACAATTGTCTCTGTATTTAGATTTTACACTCAGGTTTTGGAAGCCCAGCATAACCATATTCACTGGACAGAGCACAAATTAAATGACTGAACAGCAGCAACTGCAATGACGACCCCACACATTCTGAAATCACTCCTGCCTGAAAAATGCAGGAGAAATTTAAAACAAGAACAACTGTTACTTGAGCAAAAGTCCCTTCATGGCAGCCAACAATAGAACAGTTATTTCCTCAAGTGTGCAGGTTTGCAAAATAACAGCTAGGAGACAAACTGCTCCATCCATTTCAGAAATGTGTTAATTTAACACCATAACAGACAATTTCACTTAATAGATTATTTTACTATTGGTGATTTGAGAACTAACATAGATCTGTTCATATCTTGCTCTGCATTTTCTGTCTGAATTAAAAAAATATCTCAGCTGGTTAAAGCTGCCAAATACCTCTAGTTTTTTTATTAAACATTTTTATAAAGAATTTTACATTTAAGTTTGTGACATTAACATTCACAAACTGTGTAAAACAAATGAAATAATCAAGTTAGCTTGGGTAAAGATCATTTTATAAACTTATTTTTAATTTTCACATTTAATTCAATAGAAGTTTCTTAAAATCCTTAATCACATTGAGAGTGTTTGTTGCATTATATGAACTACAAAAGCAAAGATCAGTGGCAAGCAAGCATCAGGTGGCACTGTACAGACTCAGTACAGGATGATGATCCCTGTCCTGAAGAATTCATGAGCCTCTAGACAAACTCTAACACCTCCTTGTATGATCAACGACCAGACTGGTAAACAAAAGCACTGTAAGGGGACTTACACTGCTAACTTGCATCTTGTCTGTTGTGGAAAAAACCCCAAATCCTACCATCTTCAAAACTGTAAAGTGACTTCTAGTCTTTAACTTCTACCAGTCACTACTGGCCAGTGATTCAAATACGATATTCACAGTAACAAGTATCATATTTTAAGATCAAAAGTAATTTTATGAAGTTTCCCTTGAAATGAAAGAGTAATCTAAGACTTACCTGAAACTCATCAAAACACAGGAGAGCAGCCTCTCTGCTTATTTCCTCTGCCACAGGTGCAATTGGGTCGTATGATTTGGCCATAAATCCTGCTTTTCTCTTTGGTAAGTTCTGCTTAAGGCGATGTATTCCTTAGACAATAAAAGGAAAAAGAACAAATATTTCTTATTTCTCTTTCTAAGATAGGAAGAACAAATTACTTAGCTAACAAATAAAAAGTAAACTAGTCCAGTAAAAATAAGAAAGCGTCAAACTTAATCCAGTTTCAAGAGGCTAAAACACTTTACAACCACATCCACACAACAGTTAAAAGCTCACAGATTTTGTGATTCTTATTTTGTTTAGAAGGCTGTAAAACAAATGTCAAAAACATCTTGAATGCTATGCACTCTTCTATAAACTGATACAAATTGGAGTTTTATCTTGCTCTGAAGGTATTCTTAAAATGCATTTAGCTGAAAGAAGGCAGATGTAGCAATGCAGTTATACTTCAACACGTGAAGATGATGATAATGGCATATGATAAGATAATTAAATCCATACTTTACTGTCTCATGGATTGTATTGCACCTGACTATAAACAAAGATTCAGGAAAAAAAGGATCCTGAAGAAGGAAGCTACCCTTGTTAAGATTAAGCACAAATGACAAGAAATGGAAACAGAAAATCTCAAGTGACCCAGCAACGATTGAAAAGTGGGCACTAAGAAGTGGCTCAAGTTATCTACACCAGTGAAAGCTTCCCAAGAAAAATGCAGCTCTTTACAAGTCACAACACTTGTAAAATAAAGCAATAGTTAACAATTTGACAGTATTTTAAGGTCATAGAATTTAGAAACAGAAGAAAGTTTTAAAATCTTTAGAACAGCATCCCTGTCAAAACAAAATGCCTTATTCAGCTGATCAGAAAACATTCTGAAACTTGGAATGTGCTTCTTTCTATTGCTTTTTTCCTCTAAATTACTGACAGTTATTACTAAGTTACTCAACCAGAATAGGTCCCATTCTCCTTGGCATTTATATCTGATTTAGTTATTGCTTATTCAAAATACAGAGTGAGTTTAACCTTTCCATTTTCAGTTTTAGGAATTGCCTTCTTCAGATTTCAGGTAAGCTAACTGGCACCTGGAAAACGTTTCGTTAAGTATTTCATTCTAAGCAATATACTCAAGTTATATATACAACCAGGTATGTATATTTTTCTTTCAGAAAAGATACTTGAAAAATAATATGCAATTAATATCTATGCTGGTATGATAAACAATGCTAGCTAGCATGCATTAACTTTTCTCCTATTTTTTTTACTTTTTTTTATGCTTAAATATTTAAATAAAATTACAGTGATTAATATGAATATGAGACAGACTTTTTAATAGATACTGTATTTTATAAAATTCTTGTCAATACCTGTGTTTGCACTTACTCTGGTGTACATCCAACATGAAGCCATGAAAATGGACTCTCTTTTTCTTTTCTACTTCTAAGTGAGAATAGAACATGTCCATCACCATTGTCTTTCCTGTGCCTTCAAGTAAGAACAATAAAAATCACTCAAGAGGTAGTTAATTTAAGAGCAGTATGTACTGATTACAGTAATGACTGTTTGTCAGCTTGGCCCTAATGAAACTCTAATTTTCCACAGGCCAAGTACAAGACCAGACTGCTGTGAGAAGCAGTTATGTTTTCTGTTCAAAAACTTGGAAGAACTACATTTTTATTTTTCTGTTTTAAAATACAGACATGGCCCAAAGGTTGCACAAATTACTCCCCATACACCCATAAAACATGTTAGTATTTCATTTAGAAAGCAAGTATGTTTTCATGCTGCACTGTTACAATTAGAATATATGCACTCTCTCCCACAATTACTTCCCAAATTCTTAAATTGCATTCTTAAATATAAGAGAATGGCTAATGCTGAAAACAACTACACACAGTAATGTGGTCCAATCAAACAGCTTCCAGCATTCAGAGTGTAATTATATTAAATAACATTATAATGTTACATCCAGTAAGATCCATTAAACCAATAAAGCTACATAAACATACAGCTTCAGAATTCAAATAGACATGAATTTAGAAAAAATTCTATTGGATGCAAATGATACTTACCAACATCTCCATAGACATAAAGACCTTTTGGGGGGTCGGTTTTGGCAAAGAGCTGCAAGTCAAGAGAAAAAGAGTAAATATAGATATAGGTTAAAATAAAAGCAAGCACATGGCTGTGATAAAGTAAGAAAGAAGCTACACTTAACCACAACAGTAGCACTAGGCAGCAAAGCGTAACCTTGACTAAATCATTAGCTCAGAATTCATAAGTAATGTTATCATTGTGCAAATTCTATATAAGAAGCAAAACACACATGTAGGGCTTGGGATTTGGGGTTTTCTTACATCACTGCAAAAATATCCCCATTCCCAGCCCTAGCATATGGGAACATGTACCTTTTTATCAGAACACATAAAATGATTCAATGTTTCCAAATCCACCATCATCAAAATAAATCCTTTGCCTCATTAAGCCATTTGAGCAAATAGTCTTAGAAAAACAGGATATAAAGTTAAGCAGTATGGTACCATGCATAGACATATGTATTAAATACCTATTAGAGCACATCTGCTAAAGAGATAAAGTATTAAGACTCAGAAAATCAGTACTGCAAAGCCCATGAACATTGTACATCTTATTCTCTCAGCTTTGAATACTAAACCCAAAATTATCTCTGGTTTAAACATGATTAAAATCAATAGAGTCACAGTAAAAATATGTACCTATATGCACATGCACGTGTCCTGATATGTATAAATATATAAACATATAAAAATATACTTTCAAAGTATGCCTTTTATTAACCATTTTTTCAAGTGAGTTACTTTCATCTGGAATGAATATTGTTTAAAAATTTTAAATCTCTTAATATCATTCAGGACATATGTTATGACACTTGATATCTATTTTACTCAACTATATATTTTTATGCAAAAATTTCCAGAAATGCTAAGATTTTCTATTTGGAATAGTTCTCTTTCCCTTTCCCCCACTACTATGCACAGCCACTTCCAAGTATAATTCAAAAAAGAAACAGTTTCTAAAAAACTGGAAACCTTACCAAAATTCAATCAAATCCATGAAACTGAATTGACATCCACAAAACACACTGCAAAAGAGTATTTGCTTATTTTAAAGTGCTCCACTTTCAGAGCTCTATGGGCTGAGCCAACACAGAAGAAAATTAAAATTGCAATTCTGTGGCTGTGGTCTCATTTGGAGCTGGGTAATTGCTAAACAACTTGAATCTAAAGCACTTTTTGAAAATACAGTGCTGTGGTAAAGAAATAGAGGAGTCAGTACAAAACACTAATTAAATATAAAAGAAAATGCATGACCAAAAAATAGAAGGGTAATATCTCGGGTTTATAGTACCAGCTCACTCAGAAAATATGCAAGCATGGCTCTTACACAAGAGCCCCTTTTGGATTTAATTTGGATCTCTATTAATAGGGTAATCAAAAATTTGTATCATCAATCTGTGGCTGGAAAGGGTTTCAGATGTTTGGAAACTATTCCATTAATTTACAAGGGTGCAGCTATTTGCTAGTACTTTGAAAGCATTGTAAGACAATTTAATTGTTGAATATTTTTCAGTGTGTACTTTTTAAAGAGCTTGTGCTCAATAAAATTACTCATGCTCAAAGTTACAGGAGAAAAGAAACAGAGACATCCAAATGAGACATTTTCAAAATAATTTCTTTGGATTTAGTTTTAGATTACCAACAATCACTTTAACAATATAATGGACTATAATATTCAAATTATTATACAGAAAGGCTGTATTAATGTGATTTGCAGTTTCACAAGAAGCAGCACAAAGTCAGAAAAACAAATCAATGTGTAGAGTACAGCTTCACCTGCTTTTTTGCAAAGGTTATACAACCAGAACAAATAAAAATGCCTACATTTTTATACCAATATTTTAATTGTAAAGCTTTTATTAATTTAATTTAACTACTTTAATATTTGTCTTTTTAGGCATACTTATTTCCAGATAACATGTTACAGAAAAAGGAACTTTTGTTTTGACTAAAGGAAACAAAAATAATGGCTTGGCCTCCATAAAAGTTGGTTTAAAAATTTAAAATTGTTTCCTTTTGAAGGCAGCAATTTTTGAACAATATCTGCTATCTGCTAAAAAACATGGATACTGTGGCAGAGCCAAGTATATTTGCTGATCATCTCTAAAAACAAATCAAATGTCAGAAAACCTTCTTTCTTGTTTCAGCAATTAAAGAAGTTTCTAGAAAATATTTTACATATAATTCTAAACATCACACTATTGATAGCTTTAGGATAATGACTTCCTCATTCCTGTCAGATACTATCTAATAATTTATTTTTATATTCTTTGGTTATTCTGGTTTGTCCTTTTTTTTCTTAACATAGATTTTATTTCAAAAAGTAAAACTTTATCAGTAGATTTTTTTTTAGTACTGACAACTCAGATATCCTACCAGTCTCAAGCTATTTTGCATGATCATGAAATGGATTTTTTTTTCTTTTTGTTTTAGTTATTCTAATGCATCTTCTGAAGCCTGGAAGCTGTCAAAGAAAAAGGGAAACCTCCACTAGGATTGCTGATAAAATCCCATCAACATTTGATTCAATTTAAATCACAGCAAGCAGCCAGTCAATGGTATCTGGGGGCAAAGAAAGCAGAATACTGATCTTGGTTCTATACAAACATACACTCTGCAAGAAGGAGGGAGGAGATCTAAGGCAGAAGATCCTCCAGTCACCCTAAAATAAGGACATTCTACTTTATTTCAGGCAGGAAAGGGAGAAAAGTAGGAAATGTAGGAAGACGAACTAAATGAATGATTTCTCCTTGCTCATTTCCATATTATCCTGAGGTACATTTGGAGTCTCAGCATAACAACGTTAAATTTGTTGACAATATGTTTTCTTTGACAACAGTGGTAAGATTTAAGTATGTTAATACATACTTAAAAGATATTAAGTGATACACAAAATTTGAGTTTGAAGGGGAGAATCTCATTAGTAACATGCAATGTCTTCCCACATTCTCCCCTGCTCAAACACCAGAAGAAAGCAAATCATTTCCTGGCAGTACTTACACCCTGATTGGAAAAACTTGTAAGTGCAAATGCATGTCAATACCTAGATGGTTAATTAAAATATGCAAAATTCAAGACAAGTCTCCCAACAGCAGATTTTTTTTTAAAACCTAACAAAACTGTCTCTTTCTCCCACTCTTTCAAGACTCCTTTTTGGCTGTTGTTGTAGCTTGAAGACATTTTCAAGGTCTTGAATGGTGTTTACTATTGTTCATACCTCTTTTCAAAACATGACCTCACTTATAATTGAGCTTATTTCAAGTCATTAGTACAGCAACTCAACAACTCTTAAGATGTCCCAATTGGTATTATTTTGAAAAGCTGGAGATCTGAAATGTCTATGCAAACTCTTACAGCCTTGAACTTCAATTCAGAGGATCTCAAAATATCTCAACACACAAGGCCATGCTTTCACCAAGTTGAAGATCAAAGTCCTTGTTCAAATTTGAGGAGTAATTTTAAAAAACAGAAGCCTACTTGGTTGGCAGCAAAACTAATTGTTTTTTTTCCCCTGAGATTCATTCTAAGCTGATGTCCCAAAAAAACCTACATCATAACAAAATAGTTTTATTACCATGAAAAAAATGGCATCTGGTGTGTCTGTGTGCCCCAGACTACTCATTTCAAAAAGGTTTGGCCTGTGAGGTAACACAAGTGTTCTGGGTAAAAAAAAAACCTGAAAGGCCTCTATTGTATCTGATACAAATATTTGCTCCCTAATCCTACTTTTACCACAGTTTAGTGAATAAAACTATTCAGAGAAAAAGTGACAAAAGAAGAACCAAGCTAAAACCAAAGCATACCACTCTTGTAACAGTTCAGAAGTGCAAGAAGTTTCTATTTCTGGAATAGTTTCTGCTGTTTTGGAAGAGGCTTCTGCAATTCTATCACAGAAGAAATCAAGCAATAAAATAAGGAATATCAGACTATAGAAGAGGCTGCTAGAGAGAGGTTTGTCTTCCACCACCCCTTTTTCTTCACCACAACCTCTCAACCACATTCCCTTCAATAACAGAGCCAGAAAAATGAGCACACTTGAAATGCCAAGCACCACTATTTTTTTTTTTAAAAAGCTGCCAGTAGATTAATTTCTTCTCAGAACAGGAGATTTCATACTAAAAGTGGGCTATTCAAGTTTCTAGAAACCTCTTGAAAAAGCAAGAACTGAACTTACAAAATACTAAGTATAACTGATAAATTATTTCATTTTTTCAAAATACATCCTTAATTAGTTTAAAAAAACATCCATTTGTTTCATTTACATCTATTAAAACTCACCAAGTACAAAACAGAAAGGAAATCCAATGGTTTTATTACACAAACATGACAGTATTCAAAGTTACAAAGTACCTGGCCTCCATGACAGGAGACTGCCAACAAGCTACTCACAAATACAGGATTTACCTGTATCATTAGTATTTCCTGGAGAAGCCTTCAACTGGTCAGAATGAATTCCACCCATAAACCTATACAAATCCTATTCAACCAGGCCAACTCCAGACAGCAGTACTCAGCACCAGCTCTTCTTGGCATCAAAAGCCTTAGCTCTAACTGAACCAAGTCTGCAGCAGCATCACTACACTGAAAGTCCATAGCAAAAAAACAAGTATACTGCTTACTGAGGAAACCCCTCAATAGATACAAGCATATGATAAGCATATGATTTTACAACTACCTAGTCACATTTGTGACTTATCTGGGGAAACCTTCATTAAGATGTTGATTACAGCTTTGCTGAAGCAAAACCTGGCCTGCACTAGAATTTAAACTATTACCTGTTTGGCTTCATTTTATCTCATAAGGAGCTCTGTTTGAACTGGCAAATTGCTTTCTCAAATATAGCAGAAGAGGAACAAAGCTGTTGTGACAACTTCTCCCTGAATCATGATTTCAATTGAACTACACAAGCTAGCAGACACTGACAAGATTTATGCAGAAGTCACTGCCCTCCTTTTCTGGGGTTTTGACGTACGGCATGGCACTATAGTGCTCAACCTGTTACCAATCTTAAGATTTCTATAGAAATATCAAACTCCAGAAGAAAAACCTCAAACTGCAATAACACTTACCCCTGTAGCAAGTAGTTCTTCAGCTGCTTCTCACTGACTCATTAGTTCATCAGTGAGCCATACAACAATTTTCAAAAGTTGGTTTAAAATTAAAGCAATGTTAAATGCAGAAGTGGAACGCTTTAAAGAAATTGGTGAAAAACACATTCTCAAGTAAAAAATGGCATTTAAGTAAGAAAGTGTCAGTCTGGCTTTACTGCAATTAGCTCTGTTACATAGGGACATAGCAGCATCATAATTCCTAAATAGAGTAAGGCTGGTAATTTGTTCTCTGCAATACAGGCTTTCTTTGCTATTCACACTTCCCAATCAAAGAATCAGTAAATAACAAACCCACAGAATGCTTGATCTACAAAGCCATGACACCTGCTCTAACAACTAACAATGATTTGGGGCACTCCAGTTAACACAAGTCAGCTCTCAAAATTATCCTCCAGGGCAGTGCTTTTAGAACTTAATAACCAAATGTCCACAACTTCTTGCCAGAAAAGATCAAAATATTCTAGCCTACTGATCCCTCAGGTTTGGCAGTAAAGGCAATGCCTTCATCATAACATTTTTTTCTCAGGCTTTGGCTCCCCTTATCTTGTGCTACATCATTTAGTCTTGCCCTGCAATCTGCAAACATGACAGTATTTGTGCCAGGTAAGAGAACAATCTGGTATGGTTAGGTAACAAGTTTACAGTAGCATATTTAAATTTATGCTCATGAGATGAGGAGTGTGGTGCAATGAACACTTAAAAAGGCTGACATGGAGATTTGTTAGCAAGGACTGCAAAAGACATTTATTGACCATAAATGTTAAAGTTACTTCTGATGAAAAAAAAAACCTTTAAGTGATGCAAGAAAAGAGTGAAATCAAAAGAAAAACTCAGAGTCTAGCTGGGGAAAATGCTGACAGATTCCCTCCTCCCAGGGACAAGGAGGTCTCTCCAGGGTGGGAAAGTGCAGGTGAGACAGCAATGTATATTTTGCCATGCTTTTTCCCCAGCACTATACTTTTATCATCAGACTTAAGTCAAACACCCCACTCTTGTTGTTTCATCCTACCACAGCTTACAACTGTGCTGACTGAAATATGTTAATCAGGTGCAAATGAAGCACATTCACTGGGCATTCAACTTTTGTGCACATCTATGCCAATATTTAGCAATGCATTAAATATCTTATCTGCTTTGCTAGGTGCTACATTTGGTTTTCTGGGATATACACTCAGATCTACAAAACAAGAGGCAAGGAAAGCTGAAGAGGGAATTCCCACATCGGTTCCAGTTGCTTCCCATGAGAACATGCCATACCAGTGCTATCAATATTTGCAGGTGCAAGGCCACCAGAGCAGCAATCTGAGAATAATAGCATGACAACAAGAGACGTGGAAAATACTGTCAAAGAGAGTCTAGAAAACATTGTGTCTAGAGCTTCAGGTAAAAGTTACAGAGATGCAACAGCTGGCTAACATCTCTGTAATTGTTAAGGCAACGTGCAACAGGGATATAAACTTTTGTAAATCTTTGAAAAGAAACTATGATGTCCCCAAAAACACAACAAGGGTGCAGATTCTACCAAGGCCTTCTTTCCTTACCCCACATGGAAACTAGTGACATGGAGAAGAACTGTTTTTAAAAGTCACGTTTGATACATATTATAATGTGGAATTATTTGTGGAATATCTGTTAGAACACAAAACATCAGTGTTCAGTTTATCTAATCCAAACACACAAGTATAATACCAGTGCTTGAGAATTAAAACCTGGTTTAGGCCCTTCTCTCCTAGAGCCAAATGATGTTTTTGGAAAAGTAGGCAGTGGACCATAACTAAAACCACATTAGATTTTCTTACAGAATTATTTCAATAGTATCTAATTTGGCTACTTCTAGAGTGCCACTGGATTTTACAAAGCAAAAAAAAAAAAAAAGAAGACATATTGAAACATGAAGAATCATCTATCTGGAAAGATACATTTGCAAAAATAAGATTTGTGCTCTTGGCAGAAATTTATGCATTTTAAGCACATTCTGAGGAGGAAATATAAATGCAAAAAATATTTTTATCATTATAAACCTCACCTGTGAAAGAACATTTTTCGAATCAATGCTGTAGCCTTTAAGGCTCTCATGCAGTTTCTGCAGGTGCTGCACAACTCTTCTTTGTTGCTCGTCATTCTTCAGCTCTTGATGCTTAATCAAAAAGTCATAATGTTCTAAAGGTCCATTGCAAACCTGTAAGGCTCTGGCATGAGCATCTGTAGGAGTAGCAGGGCCTGTCTTCTCATCTGCCTGAGCTGTGTAGGCTGTAAAAATAAAAGTAACCAATTAATAGAGAAGTTCTTAAAAGCATCTCCTTATAAACAACACATATTCCTAACAGTTTACACACAGACATATATACATGACAATGTTTTACCTATATAACCACTGGTTACCCCTTCATTTTTCATTAACTCGATTTCTAACTTTTTACTAACTCTAGCAGTATGTTTTAACATTCCTTTATTTTATTAACAAGCACATATTCTAAGAAGTCCAGCTACAGAGTTGGTAAGATTTGGCTGAGCTAGTGCATGGGAGGTTTTGACCGTTCTTTTTTTTCCAAATTGGGGTAAAACCATTTACATTTCCAAAGTGCATTTCTCTAAATAGATAATCTTTTAGGTAAAACTTCAGAAAATATTTAAAAGTCAACAAATGAGACCAAACCAGGAGTTCTGTAAGGAATTTGAAACAACCTGTCAACCACCACACTAAGCAAGGCAGCAGCTGTGAAGACCTGCAATGCCACAGCCTGATCTGCTGGCATTATCTTCTGCCTAGAAGAGACAGGGACAAGTCTAGGAGAGACAAGGACAAGTCTAGGTAGGAATACTGTCAGAAACAAGACATTAAAAAAAAAGTCAGAATTGCTAGATATAAAACAAGACATAACTAGGGAAAGAAACTATGCACAAGATTACAAAGAAGGCTTGCCAAGTCATTAGTATCAGAAACAATGGCATACATTGGAAAGTTGTTAAATATCTTTGCTTCCAGTGTCATTTAACAGGTTAAGTACAATAAAGAAAAATATGATTTCTTAATGGCTAAAGGAATATCATGTTAATTGCAGTAACACTTTTGTCCCATAGCATTGCCATCTATAAAGCAGGAAAGTTGCAAGTGAAAGTACTTTTAAGCAGGTACAAAACAGCTGGAAAAAGAATATGTGGTAAATAATTACTACACTTAAACCAGGTGTATATCTGCAGCAGAGTTTCATAGAGAGCTCAGGATCTCATCTTGGTGCAACCCTGAATTTCCATCCATATATGGAAAAATAAGGTAAACAGGCTGGGAATACAAATAATAGAAAATCAGGAGAGGGGTGCAGACACTTAGGAAGGCAAGTAAATTCTGACAAACTGGACAAATAAACTAATAAAATTAAGATGTAATTCAATAGGGACAAAGCATGTTATTTAGAGGAAATAACTAACTCAGGATAGGGGGAATGACCAGCTAAAGAGCAAAGACCTGCAAAAAAGGATCCAACAGCTACACCAGATCACAAAATGCCAGTGAGACAATAAAATAACCCTATCAGAGGAAAAAATAAACTAAAATAAAATAAACACAAGTCCTCCGATATAGATACACAGAGAGAAAAAAACACCCTGTTCTATTCAATGCTGGTATAGTCTGCCCTGGAAGACGCTTTTCAATTTTCACATCATATGTTATGAGAAGTATGAACCAAATGACAGAGTAAATAGAGATTTTTTTAGTTTTTAAAATATGGGTCACAACCCAAAGATGCCATAAAAGGCACAAAAAGAGTTTTAAATAACTATAAGAAAGATAGAATATTAGAAAACAATAAAACTGAACTAGGAGATCAAATTATGTTTACCTATTGCAAGTAACAGTTTTTCCATAAAAAGACAGTCACTGTTTATATCTGCAGCCAATAACTGCACCAAATTCTCTTGTTCCTGGAGGAACTGAGTTGTTGCTTTGAATTAAGAGTAATTATCTCTATCCAAAGAGATCACATAAAGAAAGTTGAGTTCAAAGTCTGTTATTGCAAAAGTGTGAGTAAAACCTGTAGAGAAGAAAAACATATAGCTGTCTCCAAATACATACAGTGTACTGAGAAAATGAAAGGATATGGTATTTATACAGATAACTTAATAACTGTAATTAAGGTAGTGACATAGATTAATAGTCTAGAAGCTGTAAAACTTCCAAAGATTTGGTGTGAATTTTAAAAATAACTTTGAGGAAAATCTGTCAGGAACAGGTCAGCAAAACCTGACCTGCCTCTGAAGGGAAGGGGAAAAGGAAAGATCACACAATTATAGAATGGCTTGGGTTGGAAGGGAGCTGAAGTATCATCTAGATCCAACACTCCTGCCATGGGCAGGGACACCTTCCACCAGACCAGGTTGCTCAGATGATCTCTCAAAACTTTTTCATCTTGTTTTCTACTATTCCACTCCCAAAACAAGTCCACCTCAGTCCCGTGATCCATACCTCTGAACTATCTGTGCCTTTGCAATATGTAGAAGTTGATGGCCCCAAGAGCTCCAGCGTGCCCCCTTATATCTATAAATTCTGAAGTTCTTACTTCTTACAGACTCAAAGAAAAATAAAAAATAAGCTGATTTAGGGGCAAGAAAGGGTTTGTGGCTCATGACCTTCCTGGCCATAGACAAAGCACATCAGCAGCAGGACTGCTCAGAAGCATGGGCTCTGTCTCAGATTACATGTTCTCACAGCTAACCATCCTGGGAGTGGGAGAAAGTAGTCATTAACATGTGACAGAGGTGGAGACTATGCCCAAATGGCCATAGAGGGTGTCCTGGCACAAATCACTCACTGTTCTCATAATATAATATTGAACACTGGGATTTAAATATCACGGGAGAACACTATAGTGCACTACCAGGAGACACCCAGTAACTGGTTAAGTGATAAACTCACACCTGTAGCTGCAAAAAAAAGGCAAATGTTACTGAAGAGCATGTGGGATTTTATAGATAAGAGATAAGTCAACAGAAGGTACAAGTGATACAATATTCTAAAAGACAGAAAAAAATGTGCACCTTCCATTCTAACCTGCATTTTGTGGAACAGATTGCAAAATCTATCACTCAACTACAGGAGTCACCTATGATTCAGTGTACTAACTACAGTCCTACAGCCCTCTTCTCCACACTGCAAAATAGGGGTTTTCATTTATTCCTTACTGTTTCATTATCTAATCTTTGTATTACAGAAACTTCAACTCAATTATTTATTATTTTCCCTTCTGAAGTCTTCAAGTGTCACACACAGAAGAAACATCCTCCACACCTATGCAGTGTTCTGGATACAACTATAGAAAAGCACAACATCAATTCACTGTTCACACAGTTTTACACAGAACAGTGTAAAATTAGACATGGTTATCCATAACCTACCTTTCCCACCTTCAGGACAGTGCAGGATGTTACCACATTTAACATGATGTTCCCTGCTTCTTTAGATTTGATACCAAGCTGCAACTTTTTTCCTAAATTCCTGTTCCCAAAACATACATATGTCAGTATAATCTCACTTTATTTCATACCATGTAATTAGGTCTTTGCATGTGCCTTTCTGCTTACACATAAAAGGATCACAGACACAGCTGCAGTGGAAACCTACCATGACACACCCAAAAAAAGAGAAAGAAATTGGAGGGGAAAATCTCACCAAGGCAAATAAAACTTATTTTTAAAAAGGCCAATCTGGAATTTTAAGAAAATTTCTTTCAAGTGGGGTACTTAAGACATATTTGGTAAACTGACATCAATTTACCACTGCAAAGATAATGAATGCCTACATAAAATTATAAAAAGTGTTCTTAACTCCAGGGACTTTCTGACCTGGAGAAAAGCAGCAAATTGGAAAACTGATCAGTGTGTTGTTGAGTTTTTCTACTGATACTTAGAACTGATGTCTGAGACAACACAGAAAAAGGGATATGAGTTTCAATGACACAGCTTATGAAAGCAACAGTCACTTCTGAGGCAGGCACTAGAGTTATTTATGCAAGAAGACAAACTGAAATGGAAGTTGAGTTGTGGCATACCAAAACTGATCCTGACAGCAGCCAAAAGAGAGAGCACAGAAGGGTTACCAAGCTACAAGGTAGAGAATTAACACTTCCTCCTTCCTTCTTTGCTGTTAATTACTGTTTGTCCTAAAAACAGAGAAGATTTCCAACTGCGAAGAAATGCAGAACTGCAAAGAGTTGTGAGAACTGCATCTAAACCAAACTCATGTAGGTTACAACTGCACCAAAATTCAGTACCCCAAAATCATCCGAGTGCCACCTTTGCTGACAGTCACGACCAAGAAGCTGGAATAGCTTCTACTAAATCAATGTTAATGCAAGGTACAAGGATCACATCTGTTTCATTACTGCTCTGCCAGCACAATCTGCCTTGAAAGCTTTTCACAAACTCTGGAATTTGTGTGGAGAGAGGGGGGAAAAAACGTCATAGAAACCAACTTTTAAAAACTGTCATGCTTTCAATAATCCAAGCTGAAGTTCAGAATATCAGTTTGGGTCACAATGAAGCCAAACTGCTTCAGACCTTAAAGCTCTTAGTGTAAAGCTGTTAAAACTGCCTATGAAACACAACTGCCACGACAGAAAAAGAGGACTTGGGAGTCAGAGGGCACTTTCATCAACAGGTGATGGTGGTATCAAAGACCTAAACTCAAGATTAAGCCAGTAATAGAACTGCTGCAAAATGTTTCCTTCTTAGATGACACCACAGTGACGAGGACGGGCAATGGTACACTCTTGCAGCTCCAAAGGTTATTTTCCTGTGTGAAAATAGGAGCAAAGGTAGCAAAATATCAGAAAGAATTTATTTTCATGTTAGTATCTGTAAGCAATAATCATGTTCTCTTGTATCATTTTTTGTTAAATATATATGCAAGTTTTGCAGAATCAGTCTCAAGCAGGCAAATTGCCCCATGATGTATAAGGATTTGGATAAATTAAACACATGTGTTAAAGTTAAGCACATGAATAAACCTGCAGAAGAACAAAGACTTGTCATGTAAGCTTCTTGGGAAAGAGGTCATGTGCTAGGTATAAAGCTAAAAATACATTTATAGTCCTATAATACACAAATGCTCCTTTCAAAATATTGCACTATGATTAATGACAAGAATGTAAGAGGAGGTGATCTGAAAAAATTATTTACTTTCCAGTGCTTAACAGAAAGCTTAAAAAATCAAAGTCCAACCAACCATATTGGGGGGGGGGGGGCATACACACTAAGTTATCTGCATGAATTGAAGATGTTAGGTCAATATAATGTAAAATTCATAAAAGCCCCCCACATGCTAAAATTAGTGGTTCAAACCAGAAGAAGCAGCTTGCAACTAAGACAAAAGGACAAGGATTTACATTTTTGTCTCATTATATGACCTTAGATGAATCACTGAAGGCCATTCATTCTGGCAGCATAAGGCACAGTATTTAATCTTCTAGAGAAACATGAGTTGGAACTAGAATTCTACTTTGTGCATAAGTGCCTGATACATTATTCTGCTAGAAGATTACTTGTATTTTTTCCATGCACACCTCGTTTCACAACCTGACCTATAGATGAAAGTAGAGACAAGAGAAGCATACCAGTGAAACTGTGACTTCACAAATACTTGTCATGTCCTTACTTAATTAAGGAAAAGGTACACAATTGTGGAAAGCAAATCACAAAAACAAAGAAAAGACTATAAACCAGTGATCATAAAACCAAGATTATAAATCAATTCCATGATGGCAGCCCATCCCTGCAGTGTGATGTCCTCAAACAACATATGCAAGGACTACTTTTTCTTTGACACAGAAGCTGACAAACTGCCTGAAGCCTCTAAATTTGCTCTGACAACTTTTTCTAAATACTAGTAAATACCTACAGAGAGTCCAAGTGTTAGACCAATACAAAATAAAACACACGCAACTACAGTACTACCTGCAGTGCTTGTCTATTTTTCTTAGGATGTATAAATATTTTACAATCACAACATAATGTGTGGATGTGGACATTTATCAATCCTGGGACCCACCAGTCACCAGCTGAATTCTCACACCTTGGCCAGACTGGCAGAGGACGAAGAGCTCTCACTGAGGAAAAACGATCTCTGCTCCTAACCTAAGCCTCAAGTTAACAAAATTCCATAAAGTTTTGTACTGAAGAGGCTTTCAAAGCAAGGCTGTGAAAGCACAGCCGTCGTTCTTTATACCCCGGAGGGTCCTTGAGGGAGAACAGTCCCCGAGACTCCCCAAGGCCCGGCCGAAGAGCTGGCAGCCAGCGGCGCACTCGCCGAGTCCCGGTGCGGCCGCAAGGCTTTAACCGGGCAGCGCACCGAGGCCCTATTTGCCAGGGGAAAAGCTCGGGAAGCCACAGGCCCCCTTCGCGGGTCACCCGGTGGCCGGGGCCGACTCTCGGTGTCACCCCGGCAGGCAGGTCCCCTCCAGGGCTGTGTCGCGGACAAGCCCCGGCCGGAAATACGAGAACACCGGCAGGTCATGGCAGAGCGGCGAGGCCCGTGCGTGTCCCGGCGGTTGCCGTGTGGCCCGCCCGGCACCGCCACCCACCTCCCCTCCGCCGGGGACAGACCCGCGGCACGACGGGGAGGGAAGGCACGCACCGGATCCTGCGACCGCTCCTCGGTGCCCTTCCTGTGCGGTGCCCCGGCACCCCGCCGCCCGCCCGGGCCTGGCGAGCCTCGGAGAGCCGCGGCGGCGGCACTGACCTCTGTGCGGCGGGAGCAGGCGGCCGCGGCAGCCCAGAGCCCGCAGCAAGCAGCGCGCAGTAGCCAAGGGCGACACAAGGGCCGCCATCTTCCCGGCGCGGCGGCGGCGGCGAGGGCGCGGGGCGCGCTGGGAAATGGAGTCCCGCGGGGCTGTGGGGGAGCCCGTGCGCGGCCGGTGCCGGGCGAACCGCTCCCGTTGGGTCACGGAATCACAGGGTCGATTAGATTGGAAAAACCCTCTGAGATCATCGAGTCCAACCTATGACCTATCATCACAATGTCGACTAGACCATGGCACTAAGTCCCACGTCCAATCTTTCTTAAAAACCTCCAGGTACGGTGCCACCACTTCCCCGGGCAGCATATTTCAATATCTAATCACCATTTCTGTGGAGAAATTCTTCATCATGTCCAACCTAAACCTCTCGTGGCACAGCTTGAGGCTGCGTCTTCTCATCCTGACACTGGTTGCCTGGGAGAAGAGGCCAATTCTCACCTGGCTAAAACCATCTTTCAGGGAGTCAAAGAGAGCAATAAGGTCAGCCCTGCGCCTCCTTTTCTCCAGGCTAAACAACCCCAGCTCCCTCAGCTGCTCTTCACAGGACTTGTGCTCCAGACCCATCACCAGTTTCATTGCCCTTCTCTGGACTCAGTCCAGCCCCTCAATGTCCTTCCTGTGGTGAGAAGTACAGAACCAAACACAGGATCTGAAGCACAGCATTGCCAGTGCTGAGTACAGGGAGACAATCAACGCCCTGGTGCAGCTGGCCAGATACAGGCCAGCATGCCAGTGTCTTTCTTGGCCACCTGGGCACACACTGGCTCATGTTGAGCCACTGTCAACCAGCACCCCCAGGTCCTTTGCTGGTCCCTGGCTCCTTCCCCCTCTTTTCCCCCAAACTGCGCCACAGGCATTGTGGGAGCCCCCAAGGAGCCCACCTGTCTGGTTGCCCCAGGGCCACACTCCCTGCACAGCCACTTGGTACAAATCCACTTTCCAAACCCACTTGGAGCCCCACACAACACCCTACTGCCCTAGCCATGCACTCCAGTTTCCAAACTGAACTTCCTCATCCACCTCAACACAAGGAAGAGCTTCTTTACACTGAGGGTGGCATAGCACTGGAACAGGCTCCACAGCAAGGTCATGGACTCTCCCTCTCTGGGGACTTTCAAACGTTTCTGTGTCACCTGCTCTACGTGACCTTGGACCTGCTAGGTAACCTGCTCTAGGTGCCATGGACTAGACGATCTCCAGAGGCCCCTTCCAACCCTAATGTTATGAATAAGAAGCTTGACTAGGCCAATATTCAAGCAGCAATCAGTTTATTATTTAATATGGTAAAGTATGAGCAATACAGCGCTGGGTACAGAGGGGGAAGTTTTCCCTCCAACTGCACACTGATAGTTGAGGGTTACAGGTATTTATAGGGGTACTCATCAGCTTTTTCAGCAGTTTCTATTTCCAATTTTTACTCATCAGCAATTTTTATTCCAAATTATTACATCACAATTCTATACACTATTGTGATTTTAGTTTTTCTCAGGATGTATCTCAAAAGGAGTATCCCCAGATGGTGGTGGTCCAGTTTCCGAAAGAAGAAAGACAAATCCCATCTGGTGGAGTCCAGCTCCCCAGATGTGGGTCCACCTTTTAATTGCAGAGACTATAAATGTAATAACAGTGATGTCCAGCTTCCCTTGGTCGAAACCATAAATCCTTGAGGTGATCGTCATCTTCCTTTCTCAAGCTGTTTTTCTCTGCTTCAATAAGGCATGAGATAAGCATATTTCCTCTATATATATTCTAAAGCTATAGTTTCAAGGATATAAGTAATATTCTAAAATTATACTTCAAAAGGTTATTATTGCAGAGCTCTTTATGGATTAACTACAAGCAAAAAGCAACATCCTTAACGCTTTAATTCCAATGCTCCTAAATCAACCAGGGTTAATTGCAAACAAAAGATAGGTTCAAAGGCCTTTTTCCATGCTTTATTTTCCTCAGTTATTATTAGAATTCACAGCTCTCCCCCTGTCAGACTCCACACATTTCGCACTCACAAATACACACGTCGCCTGTTTGTACCTGACACAAAACACAGCTTTGTATTTCACACTAACTATTCTGTGAGTCTGTAATTTTTGTATCGTGCTGCACCATGCCTGCATTGGGTGCCACAGCTGTCATCAGGGAGTTTTGGCAGCTGAATTTGCATTTGTGGATAATTTCTGTCTTGTGCTATTTGCTTTTATCTCTAAAAACATGGACCATGAAATACTAAGGATAGATATTTGTAAAATATTAAGGACAAATATCCTTGGCCAGAGTTACAACCTATCTGCACATCAGTAGTATCAGTTTTACATCTATCAGTATAATTTTTATGCCTATGAATGTGTGTTTAGAATGCAACAAGAAGATATGTTAGCATAAAAGCAGATTTCTCTAGAGATAATTCAAACCCTAGAGGCTGATTTAGTCTCAGTGTCTGCTTAGTATACAGTAGACTCTGTCTTTGGTATCAGTTCAAATACCCACATGGGATTTCTGAGAACTCCTCGGGAGAATGCAGACCACCTTCCTCCTTTGGTAGGTACCTGACTGCCTTATCCAAGCACCTCCACTGCAACTACAAAGTTCTTTTGAGAGAAAGGCACAATGAAAAAAGCCTGCACTCCGAGGGAAGGGCACTGGCACTCAGGAATCACTAATCATAACATTGGCCAGCCTCTCATTCCTGAAAGAAATGCACCCAAAGGCCAGGATGGGGCTTCAGGAGATGTTGTCTGCAGAGTGCATTGTGCAAGAAATAGTTTACCAAGTGTCTGTTCCTGGTAAAGCATGAAGGAAGTGCTTAAACTGACTTTTGGTTTTGTAACATCAGAATTCTTTTATGTCATTCTAGCATTTAATTTCTGAGCAACATGAGAAAGTGAGCAAATAGTTTTCATAGAATATCAATGAACTTTTTTTAACAAAAGTATTGAAAAATGTTGCTTTAGGGAACTACAGAACAGCTTGCAAACAAAAGTTGATTATATCCTGAATAGTATTGCTAATTCTAAAAATAATGTTTATGATCTTGAAAATATTAGCAGTCATTGAAGTTACACTCTAACACGTTCAGCTGTTTAAAATACGTAGTTGCTCCAGACACATCTTCAGCGCTATATACCTAATTAAGTAGTGAATTAAAGTGCCTATTTATCACATCCTAAAAGAGCTGTTTTCAGTGCATTTTCTTTCATCTTTCCTCTATTGGGCATTTATTGGTTTTGACTCATTCCAGCATATTATAGCTATCAACACCTGTGCCCATTTAGGAATGAATTCCAGTACAAATCATAGTGAATTGAATAGGCATCTCAAAGACGCATCACAATTGTTGCAATATATTTAGAAACTCAAACAAGGAAACAAACAAATTCTGTAAAAGTGATTTAAATAACAAATAAGTTATCTTTATAAACAGCTTATCTCCTTGAGAACAAAGAATAAACAAGGCAACAAGAGCTGGGTTTTCTTCCATTATTAACTCAGATCACAATATGAATGGGTGAAATGTCAAGAATAATTGGAGAAAATGACAGTATAATCTTCAGCAAAAACATCTGATTTATTTAAATTGTCACTGTTTTTTTCTTAACCTTGCTATGCAAGGCAGCATAGAAAAACTTCTCATTTGGATCTATTTGGACATCTTCTACTTAAATGAATAAACCCTCTGTGATGCTCTGAACCTTCTATATACTGGCCAATTGAAATGCCACCATGCACTGCACTGCACATCCCAGGAACTCACTCTCCTTTAGCTGTAAGCACTTGGCAAAAGCAAGTTTTGGTGTTAACCTAAACAAACAGGACGTTCAAGTACATTTCTGTAGATTACCATGGTTTATGTCCTGTAACAGGTACAGATCCATCATGCAGTACATTTGTACCCTTCATTTCCTGTACCTATGCCTTTGCCCACCTTCAAAAATGTGACACGGAAACTGTGTAGAAATTAAATTGGCACTTGTTCAACCCTGCTGCATTATAACTCTGTCAGCTAGCCAAAAGTGGCCTGCAGCATGAATAAAATAGGAATAAAAATGAGGGGTAAAATCAAACTACCTGCAAAATCCATTTTTGCAGAGCAGGCTGAATGGTCACTTCTATATCAAAAGTGTCTTTGTCTTTGTGTTTGGGAACCAAAGATATTTCCCATGGTGGGAATATCTTGGAGCCTTGCAGTCAGGTAAACCCAGCCCTCCTTCTGCAGAAGCTCAGAATGGTTCTGGAAGAGACCCAAAGACTCTTGGACATATCCATCCCCACAGGGTTCAGCACATGCAAATTTCTAAAAGCAGTGCATTTATACCAGCAGAGGCCGTAGAAGTAGGATTTTGCAGGTAGTTTTCATCAACACAGTTTCCATCAAAAGTCATTTTCCTGGGATTATGTCAAGACACTTGGGGGTAGACTTGATATTAACCTCATCTATTTTGAGACAGTCAAATACGCTGTTAAAAGTCTACATTACTTATAAACCCTCAGATTAACAAAGCCATGAAAACATTCCCAAAATTATGGATTTACAGCCCTTTTCACTATCTGTTTACAGTTTGCATCTCAGTCAGCTCAAATAGCTCAATGTGTTAGAAATTCACTGCAGTATTTCAGCTACACAGTATCTCTCAGAATAGGAGTTCACAGTAAGTGGATGTATATATAAATGTAAATATTACAAATTATGTTTAGAAGCTTATTACTGTCTTGCAGGCAGGAGCACAATGCAGACATTCAACATCTTGTTTCAAAGCACTGGCAGCTACTGCAGGGATCAGGAAGTCATTTTTCCACACAAGGTATTTCACAATTAGTTCCATGCCTTGTGGGTTTTGCCTTATCCTGAGTCAGCATTTCCCACAAGTTCTAACAAAATATGCCTATGCTGTCTAAAATGTGCTAACCCGGACACTTGTCAGAAAGGCTGGAGAGTCTTGACTGGACAATGGAGAGATTTGGTTCCCTTTCCTGTTAAATGTGAGTCTTTCTTTCAAAAAACAAAGAAAGAAGCAAAAAAACTACTGGAGAAGTAT